AGAACCTTGTCATCAGCAAGGCGGAGATGGTGAAATTGCCGACTTTAAGCCGCCGATATTTAGCGTGATGTTATCGCCTTGCGTAACAGTTCTTTTTACGCCTACGTTAATTTCACTGCGGAACGGTGATGCTTTGGTTGAGAAATTTTTATGTTGTAAGGTTTTACGTAGCTCGAGAGTATTCTTCATATAGTGAATAAGGACGCATTAGGTGTCCAGGGCTTCCATGACTACTACTACCACAACTGAGTCAGAAGTTTTCTTCAAATCGTGAGGAGGAGCAGTCTCTTGTTCTCTCGAGATATTTGACGCCTCCTCTCGTTTTCTCCTTTTGTTGTCGTGTCGATATCGTCCATCGTACTTAATCGTTTTCGATACCCTGCTTGCTCACGTGGCCTCGCTTCGTCCAGTGTTCGGCCAATCCTGTTTAGGACAACTCGAATGAAAAGTTTATGGATGACAGACAACAAGCAGATTAGGCGATTGTTGCCTTTGTTGTAAAGGTGAACTTTCTTTAACAATAAACCAGTGTTGATAATCTTGTGGAAAATGAGCCTTACATTTTTACAGGCAACGAGTGGAGGGCTGAGACAGCGTGTTCACGAGGACTGGCAGAAGGTTGTTCAGGCGTCCAGATTATATCCCGTCCGGACGTCGTATTGTTTGATTCTTCACCGAAGAAATAGCATGGTGGATTTTGAAAGTTGGAACCAGTAGGACAACATACCGATCACCTTTTATTTTATAAGACGTTGGGATGTGACTATTTAAGAGACCTGAGAAGAAATCGTGAGTGATTTTTTCCATTACCTTTCTGCACACTGTAACTGTTCCTGCTGGGAGTAGAAGCGCAACTATCTTGGTCTTGTAATTGGCAAAACTTCGGTGGGCTTTGCGAGTGCTTTTCATAGCCTTTACAGCTTCGACCACGTTTGCTTCTCTTCCCTCTTCAAGATATTCTTTTATCGCCTATCCACATTGTTTTGCATGTCCCACGCTGGTGTACCGGTTCGAGTGTTTCTGGCGATAGACGTCGCCTAATGACTTTCGTCCTCTCAATATTCCTAGCGCTAACGTGAAGATGCTGTATGAGCCGATTGTTTTACCAAGTACGGCGTCTTCGCATGAGCTGACTGATCAGCTCTATAAATCTCAGTTCACAGCGTTTGAGAACTTCGTTTTTTGAATTTAGCCATTTTTCCTACTTTTAGCGAGGAAACAAGCCTCTCACAAAAAGGATGATGTGAACCCGTGTAAAATTTTGGAACAATAGTGACATCCTTTAGGAAAACGTTCGATTTACCATGATGTGGTTTATTTCACTAGCACTCTCCGAGGCTCCCAAGTAAACCGTTGAGAGTGGGGCTTCCGGAATGACGAATTACCATGAATGATTTTGGTCATCATGATAAGCTTGGACAGCTGCTTACCCTGCTCCTTCTACTCCAGTCCATGGCTTTTCCTATATATTTTTTAGACGTTCTTCTTGATCCAATCATAGCTCTATAATCTCTAATGATATTGTTAAATAAATACATGGTCTTTTCTCTAAGACTTCTCCAAGTCAGTATAGAATTCGAAAACAAGTTGTTACCACCGAACAATCACGACTATTAGTAAGAAGAATCCTGTATATAAGATCAACTGCGGATCAGTATAGTTCATTCGAAAGATGTTACAGTAAAGAAGGCGAAGGGTCTAAAGGCTCTTCGCGCGACGAAGACACTTTATCCAGAAGACGAGCGACTGTGGGCATCGACTCGGATCACCGGTTCTGAGGAAGACGAAGGCGTCAAAACGTTAGCCGAACAAATATTTCTAACAACTTCGCGTTAGCTTATCAATGAAACAAGGCACATTGACCAATTAAACCGAGGTCAAATGAAATTCGGTTTGCAAAAATCAATATAGAATGTTATCGGGGCGGGTAGCACAGTGGTAGTGACGTCAGTTATCACGAGCATGGTTCTAGTTGGATTCCGCTAGGAGGCAACCAACCAAGCCTCTCATTCCTCCGGAGTTGGAAAATTGGTAGAGGGCTTATGTGAGAAAACATCACTCTCTGCGATCCAACTGGGAACGCTCCAGCCCGGCTATGTCAGGACTCCAGGAAGAATTGCTCGATCAGCATTCCATGAACTTCAAGATGGAATGAAAATCCGCAAGCAACAACCGAAGCCACACGTAAAGTTAGAAGACCTTCGTAGACAGTGGATGCGAGGAAATGTATTGAATGTGAGAAGTGCTGGGATCCGCACAGTAAATGTAAAGACAGGTCAAATAAAACTTTTAAAAAGTATAAAATGTTTCGACTTGGCCTCCCTCATAGCTTCAAGTCGGTGCGTCGACGACGAAAATTCTTAAAACACGATCTACATGTCTTTAATTGCAAACGTCCGATTCCGGTTCTTAGTTGTTCGAAAAACTCTGTGTTATTGGCCAAACTCGTGTTGATGAGAGTGCCGAAGCCTCTACTTCGCATGTTTCGGGAAATTCTTCTCTGGTCTTGCAAGCCGAGTTTTTTTGGTGTCGTCTTGTTCCCTCAGCCAGTCTGATGACGTAAGGCCGTATCCTTCTTGTCTGCAAGTTCAAGTCCTTTATTGATGAATTAGGTGCAAGTGTTCGTGCATTGCTCGCACGGGTCGTCGCCTTAGTCCTTTTCGGTTTAAACAGCTTAGAACGGGCCTAAGATTTTAATAGCCTCTGCGTACTCGTCCCATCCAGCATGCCACATCGAGGGCTTTGAGGAACCGGGAAACCAGCACCATTTATTTTACTGTATTTGACTTTTGATACCCACGTTTGCTGAGCTGTGAGCGTGAGCCTGGATATCCTCATGGGTAGCATAGCAGCCTCACCTGGACGGGGAGCTCACTTGTTGGAGGCCATTCCTAACCGTCTCCCATATATTTCGCTGTCACTTGATGGCATCCTTTGCCCAAATTGACTCGTTGAATAGAATCGCCTAAATAAGAACAGACCCCAGGACTCATGCGCAAATACGTCCTCGCATACACAAAAGGTATGTATCAAATGGGCACAACAGAAACAGTAGATCCAACCCTGATTCCTCTTGCGCCTCATGGAAGTATATGCTCGCTTTTCTTCCCTAATTAAGTTCCTATCCGCCACCTGGGGACGTGCCATGTTGCCACTCGAGTAAAGGGCATGAGACCCCGATGAAGGAGATCCTTAGCATGGCATGGTCATGTGTGAGATACAACCACAATGATGTTTGCAAATCTTGGACCTCAGGCCAGCTTCGAACGCCCGATTACCCTTTCCTGGTGCTCACTGTTACCCACTGCACCACTGGCGCCATTAGTTCGCCTTTTTCTTGGCCAATTTCTGCCTAGAAAGGGTAGTAATAGATTCGAAGCTGGGTTGGGGTTTCAGACTTTACAAATATCTGAACATCATCGTGGTTGTTTTCCACAAAACATCCAGTTGTTTAAAGAAAATAATAGGCTTAGGCAGTGAATAAAAAGTTAAGCATTAGGATAATTTTGTATTTTTCATAATTTTCTCTGCACTTGCTGAATTGTACTTGAATTAAACAACTAGGGCTATTGCAAAACTCGCGAAAATATTGAGTCAACATGAACTAATCATTGAACAAAAAATCTCGCATAGAGCCTTTGTGATTTTCTGCCATATGGGGAGAGGTGCAATATTTTTGTCTTGTTCTTTTTTTAACGTTGAGCTTTTCAGCCCACGAAAGTGAGTGTAACACAGGCGAACAGGACCTTTTCCACATAAACAGCTTGATCACCGATTTTTGAAAAAAATTTTTTCCAGTTCTCCTAGGAGCTTCAATCTGTTTACAGCAAGAAAGTTCTGTTATCTGGAAACAGTGAAAGTAAAAGTGCGGACAGAGCAGACTATTCGTAAAAGAATGCTAACGATCATGGCGGCATTCGTTTTATAGAGGTTCCAACCTGCCTCACTATTGCCATTACTGCATCCACACCTTTACGACCACAATAAGAACTGCTTCCGCTTTCAGTTCGAGCCGAGATTCGCTGTAGTTCGTTATTTAGACGGTATCGATCTGCCTCATTTAGAACCTTAACAATATCACATGAAAATGGTTGATTTGCTAAGCAAAAATGATACTCTATCTCAAGTAAGTTTGGTGTCAGTTTAACTGGAAGGGTGAGGTAGAATGCCTGGTTAGCGAATTTGGTGATCGAGCTAACAACTGTATGCCTATTTCAAAGCACTTCTAAACCGACCACAAGCGCCACAGTAAGCCGTCGTTTGTGGGTTATCATCTACTAAACCCTAGTTTTATGCCGAATAGTTTTAATTGACGAAAGAATTTGGAGTAATTGACAACTTTGACATAATCGTAAAATACAAGACTTAAAAGTCCGTGCTTGCTTTCCACGTTCCTAGAGGACTAAGCTCAAGTTTTAAAGTCTAAGCTTGAGCTTATACCTAAGCCTATGCCTGAGTAGAAATGCTGGAATTGTTCTTCTTGTTAAGATATTTTCGTTTTGGATCCCAAGTACCTCGTCCGGATCGCAGACGTTGCTCACCGACCGCATGTTGCATTGTTTAAATCCTCCTTTTCGTGGATTCGGATACCGTGAGGGTTCCCATTGTTGTTGTACGCTCAACGCTACTAACGAAAAAAGTAGCATCCGCATTCTATAATGAACTTGTAATTTCACTTAAAACACAAAAGCTATGAAACGACAGCTTTGGCTGATAAAATGGATTAGTAAAAAATACTTATGGAGCTGACCGGAAGATGTGAGCTTGTTGTATTCTTGTGGACACAGATGCCAGATATTATCACTAATGTGAATCTATTCATTTACGATTGTTTTACTGTTACAGGTTTAAATAAAACAGTAAGTGTACAAAACTCTAATGTCACAAAAATGTGCGATAATAGAGAGCAGAAAGCGCGAAGGCTTCTAAATCCGAGAGCATTAGTCCACAGCCATTCCAGAGGATTCTAGAATCCGGCCAAGCGCAGAATGATCGTGCATGTGAACCAGAATAAAGCATATCGGCTGCGAATGTTTTAAACCCTCAACTACTGAAGTTGTCCTGCTTGGTGAAAAATGCACTTCTCATTGAATATTTTCGAATTCTCTTCATTGGCCATTCGATAATATATTTTAAAACTGTCAAAATAAAAACGGAACAGCGAAAGAAGAGCAGTCTAGCTAAATGAATAACTTTGCAAACAACCTTCAGTTCGTAGTCTGAGAAAAGTTTTCCGGGAATGTTTACTCAAACCCCCACAACGACTTCTGCTAACAGGAATGTACTTCAAGTCCCTCGTTTTTAGGGAGAGGCGCTCAACCGATCTCATGTTTCTAGTCCAATGTATACAGCGCCTGCAGGAAAGGAATGTACAATACACGTTGCCCAACACAGCTGTGAAGAACAATTAGGAGCAGTCATTAATATGTTTAAAAAAAATTGCAAGATATTGTGAATAATACTGTATATTAGTAAAGGAAGGAAGTAAAGGAAGGCAATCATACGACTTCACTTGAACGGATATTCGGCGGCTATTTTTCAATACAAGAGTCCGACAATAGGATTAACCCCTCAACAGCCATCAATGCACCGATGACAAAACCACTCTGTCCCGACAAATACACCGAAACTGGATACGGAAAAGTTACACGGAATTCCTCTCGCGGTTAGGAGTCAAACTCTGAAAAAGCCCATGAAAATTTCTGGACGATCGCATGCTGTGGTGCTGCCTTTGTATCCGAGGTCGTACTCTAATCATTTTTTTACATTATCATAAATCAAAATAACTTATTTCTTTTGAATGTCCAGATGATTTCGTCGAAGAACACTCCTCTTCCCAGGTGTTTTGATGTTTTAATCTGCCGTCGATCGATGAAACACTACAAACACTCCCGCTCTCCTCCGCCAAGGCGTTATCAATCAATGCAACAACGTGCTTTGTGTTTTTGATACTTTAAAGAGTTGGAGGTAGTTTTTGCGACTTCGTCTCGAGAAAAATGCCTTAGCTTCAGTCACGGTCTATTCAGCAGTTTTCCTTATTCAGCTTAAACAATATTGGCCAGTATGTGCAAATGAGGCCTATTTTCATTGAAAACACTATCAGCATTAAAGCGACAGCAAATTTTGGATCGAATTAGGAAATGTTCAGGTTTTTTTTGCAGGGTTTGTAGCCTTTGCAAGAATTGTGCTGCTTCTCAACAATGAAATAATGCGAAGCTGTCACAACGTATGAATCCCGGATAAATTTGATTTGAAGTGATCTATTTCGCAGTAAAACCAGCACCATAGGAGATGCCAATACGGAAATCATATGGGATTCGATGATGCTCATCTTCAACAAAATAAACAAAAAGTTCCGTCAACACACGTAAACAAAAACGAGTGTAAACATTCACACTTGCCTAGTGGATCATGTAGAATATAAGATTACCTTCGACACAAAGGTTAACATGTTCAAGAAAGTGAATGAGAATAAGATGTATAGCAGGAGAATCAGAAAACCTGAAACCTGATCAGTTCAAGTGAATGAAGGGAGTTCCACAAAAGTGGGTGATTCACCGAATGGCGATAATGCTACCCATACGACCCTGGTCGAAGGGGAACGTCAACAACTGGGCGACCGGGAGCATTCCAGTAGGAATCGATTCGCACTCACATATGCTATTGGACCACTAAACAATGAACTGTGTTTTCGATAAGATGGATGTCGTAAAACCTAAAACTTCTACTAAAACACTCGGCGTTGATCAATCCCTGAGAGATGGTCCATGCATTCGACTTCATTAATTGCTTGGAGGTGATTGAATGCATAATCTGGGCTTTAGAATGGCTCGCGGTGGCCTATCCATATATCGAGCCAGTGCTGCTATCCTCCCAGACAAGTCTAGTACCAATTTGCCGACCTCGGAGGAGCGGAAGGCTTCGTGAGCCATGGGCATTGGGATCGATTCCACGTGTGTGTCGCAGTGGCACCACCAACCACTGCGCCACACGCACCCTACGGATGACGTGTTAATTCGAAATTTCATCACCCTATTACCCTTTTCGGGGTGTTGCGCGTTCACCACCACACCATGCGGATTCTTCGTGTCGCTTGTCTTTCAGCCGTATTATTGACCTATAGGCGCTATCAGCAATCACCCTTCAACGAGTGCTTTGTGCTCTCTACATCATTCCCGCCGACGGATGATCGCTGATAGCGCCTATAGGTCAATAACACCCCTGAGAGACAGCCGAAACGAAGATTCGCATAGTGTGGTGGTGATCGCCTTAACTCCTGGAAAGGGTAATAGCGTGTTCGGTCCCCACCGCAGACACCAGCTGTTTGGGCTTTTGCAAATATCTCAGCAACATCATTGTTATATCATATAATACCCTAAAATTTAAAAAAATTGTTAGACAGCAAATAAAATTGGCAGCTCTAAGTAATGTCTGAATGACGGACCTGTAGTAATTTCCTTTTACTTTGCATGAACTGTTAAGCCACTATCGCATGTAGCGGCGCATGTAGCGCAGTGGTCGGAGGCGCCCTCCGACACACGCGGAATCGATTCCCGCGCCCATGGCCCACCAAGCTTTCTATCCCTCCGGGTTCGGCAAATTGGTACCAGACTTGTCTGAAACTATGTCAGCACTGACTCAATACGTCGGTAGGCCACCGCGAGTCATTGTAAAAGATATGCATTCAATCAGCTCCGGCGACGTTTGATGAAGCCGAATGCATGGCGTATCCATCAATGATTGATCAACTCAAAAAACTCTATCCTTTATCACATGGCGTGTCATCACACCTACAGTGAGGATCTCGCATTCGACATGCTGGTCGAGTCAATTCTCCTTACAATCTTGGAGAAAACCTGGTTAAAGGGTTCCCACTAGGTTGGAGGAGAGTGTTGTAGTGCGGGTCGAGCTAACGGCTTTGCTTCCTGAACAACGGCATCATTAACCATTGTGCTATTAACTCCACCACCCTTATAGAAATATATGGAATATGCATAAATATAAAGGGTGAAGGATAACGCTCGGAATTCGTCAATCCCTGAGGGATGCGCCATGCATTCGACTTCATTAATCGTTTGGAGGTGATTGAATGCATATTTGGCCTTAACGACACTCGCAGTGGCCTACAGATGTGTAGCTAGTGCTGCTATCTTCCCAGACAAGTCTGGTACCAATTTGCTGACCTCGGAGGGACAGAAGGCTCGGTAAGCTATGGGCGCGAGACTCGATCCAATGTGTGTGTGTTACAGGGCGCCTCGGACAGCTGCGCAACACGCACATAAATATGTATATATAAACATAAAACATATATAACAGACTAAGTATAGATATATAATGTTAACTTTTATTCAGTGCTTGCTAAAATTTTTCGGGGTAGGGTAATATGTGGAATAGAACCACAGTAATGCAGAAATATTTGAAATTTTTTTCAAGCAAACACGAGATGTTACTTTATTTTTCATTGCGGTAAACCTGACCTTTCAGCAGACTTCACTTTCTTAAGAGCTTGGAAGACTCATGTTGTCTCTATCCTACCAAACAACTCCATAGCGAAGGATAGAAAATTCTAAACCAATACTTCAATCGCATTTAAAACGAAATAACTTTCATGCACATTCATTGTTGTCTTTCAGTCTTCCACCAGGTACATCACGCTTAGACCCACCCACCGCACAGAGTATATATATATATATACATGTGGAATCGATCCTCGCACCCATGGCCCATCAAGCCTTCCATCCTTCCGGGGTCATCGAATTGGTACCAGACTTGTTTGGGAGGATAACAGCACTGGCTTGATACATCGGCAGACCACCGCGAGTCGCTGTAAAGGCCAGATATCCATTCAATCACTTCCACACGATGCTTAACGAAGTCGAATAGATGGCGTATCCCTCAGAGACTGATCAACGCCAAGAGCTTTACCTTTTATTTTAACCTCTTATCACTTATTTATTGTTTCACACTATGTGTAAATGATAGGATAGCAGAGTTTGCGCAATTCTCTACTGTGACAGCTCAACGGTTAACCTGAAATGACTGGCTGCAGATTGCGTTTTTCTAACAATCTCTACCTACCGTTTGGAAAAGTTTGTGGGGTATTTCTTTTGTTTTCAAATACTCTATTTAGATTCATTATTTGTATAATTCAACAATTCTGGGCAATGTGATGTGATAACTAGCAGAATTATTTGGTTGGAAAGTGGGTCATCTTCCATGTATAATAAATAACACAGGGTTCCAGATACACTGCATGACTACGGTGTCGTCCTTATTCAAAATTTAGAGCGAATCATGTAAGAATATAATGAGCCCGACAGTGCGATTTCATTTCACCGATTTTCATTTTCGCAGCTGCCAATGACTTCGACTTCTTGGAACAAAGAAGGTACACACACTGGCGAGAAATTCTCAATATGCCTTTTCTTTGTTTGTGCTTTGTTTGAAGAAATCGGCACTATTCTAAAAAGACTAAACGAAACGGGAAAGAGGATAGCATGCATACATGGAAAATTGCATATATACATATATGGTAAATGGAAAATTGGTTCATTGAAAAAAGCTCATCTCGCAAAAATGAACGTGTTGAGGTAGATGGTCCTTTTGTTAGAAAAACTACACCTTATGTTTACCTTAAAACTTTAATTAAGCG